AAAACTCAACCCTTAACCAAAACCCTACCTTTCACCAAAACCCTATATTTTACCAAATCCTACCCTTCACCAAAACCCTAACCTACCCTTCACCAAAAACCTACCCTTCACCAAAACCCTATGCATTACCAAAATCATACCCTTCACCAAAACCCTACCCTTCAACCAAAACCCTACCTTTCACCAAAACCCCATCCTTTACCAAAATCATACCCTTCACCAAAACCCTACCGTTCAACCAAAACCCTACCCTTCACAAAAACTCTTCCCTTCACCAAAACCTTCCCCTATCCTCTCCCATTCAGCAAAACCCTACCCTACCCTTCACCAAAACCCTACATTCACCAAAACCCTCCCCTTCCCCAAAACCCTCCTCCTCACCTTTCACCAAAACCTTACACTTCACCAAAGTCTAACTTCACCAAAATCCTACCCTTCAACCAAATTCCTACCCTTCACCAAATTTCTACCCTTCAACCAAAACCCTATATTTCAACCAAAACCCTACCTTTCACCAAAACCCTATCCTTTACCAAAATCATACCCTTCACCAAAACATTACCCTTCAACCAAAACCCTACCATTTAACCAAAAGCCTACCCTTCAACCAAAACCCTACCCTTTAACCAAAACCCTACCCTACCCTTCAACGAAAACCCTACCCTTCAACCAAAACCCTACCCTTCAACCAAAACCCTACCCTTTAACCAAAACCCTACCCTTCAACCAAAACCAACCCTTTAACCAAAACCCTACCATTTAACCAAAATCCTACCCTTCAACCAAAAACCTACCCTTCACAAAAACTCTTCCCTTCACCAAAACCTTCCCCTATCCCCTATCATTCAGCAAAACCCTACCCTACCAACCTTCACCAAAACCCCACATTCACCAATACCCTCCCCTTCAACCAAAACCCTACTCTTCAACCAAAACCATACCCTTCACCAAAACCCTGCCCTTAAACCAAAACCCTTCACCAAAAGCCTACCATTTAACCAAAACCCTACCCTTCACCAAAAGCCTACCCTTCAACCAAAACCTACCCTTTAACCAAAACCCTACCATTTAACCAAAACCCTACCCTTCAACCAAAACCCTACCCTTCAACCAAAACCCTACCCTACCCTTCAACCAAAACCCTACCCTTCAACCAAAACCCTACCCTTCAACCAAAACCCTACCCTTCAACCAAAACCCTACCCTTCAAACAAAACCCTACCCTATCAATTGGGTGATTGATGTGAAGAGATGCCTGAACTTACTTACATTTTTACTATACTGGGGGTTCTGTTTTAGAGCCTGTGTTTACTAAGAATTATAGATATTTCGGGTCTCCATTGCAGTCAGCACCTGCCCATTTCAACCACTGACAGAGGACAGGGCCCCTATTCACAAAGCGTCTCAAAATAAAAATAGCTGATCTAGGATCAGGTCCCCCCTGTCTATTTAATCTTATTCATTATGATCTGCACTCTTACTCTGAAACGTGTGAATACAGGACCAGGCCTGGTTTTCCAGCATGGCTCCCATGGTGTCTGTCAACACTACAGTATAGAGTCTATACAGGTCAGCTGACGTCTATGGTGTTGTGTTTGGACAGTACACACTGAGTGTACAAAACATTAGGAACAAGTGACATCAATAAGGAATCAAAGCTTTCACCTGGAATATACCTGGTCAGTCTATGTCATGGAAAGAGCACAGTATATGTGGTCAGCTGATTTCTACGACGTTGTGATTGTACGGTATATGTGGTCAGATGATGTCTACGACGTTGTGATTGTACGGTATATGTGGGTGGGGGCTGTTAGACTACTAAAGCAGCAGAGGTACCGTATAACTCCACGGATCTCTTGGGTGACCTAATTATTACCATTCTCAAACCTTTTTCTATGATTACTGCACAGATATAATGATATCAATAAAGTAATGCCACAACATCGGCTAATGGAAAATATTCATTCTGACTGAAATAGAAAAGGTATGACAGTAATAGGAATTATTAGAATGACTGGGTATTATTGTAGATTAAATATTGTTATGGGAGATACACTATATATACTAAAGTATGTGGACACCCCTTCAAACTAGTGGATTTGGCTTTCCAACAAGTCAGTTCGTCAAATTTCTGCCCTGCTAGAGCTGCCATGCTCAACTGTAAGTGCTGTTATTGTGAAGTGGACATTTTTAGGAGCAACAACGGCTCAGCAGCGAAGTGGTAGGCCACACAAGCTCACAGAACAGGACCGCCGAGTGCTGAAGCTCGTAGCAAGTAAAAATCGTCTGTCCTCGGTTGCAACACTCACTACCGAGTTCCAAACTGCCTCTGGAACCAATGTCAGCAGAATAACTGTTCGTCGGGCGCTTCATGAAATGGGTTTCCATGGCCAAGCAGCCGCACACAAGCCTAAGATCACCATGCGCAACACCAAACGTTGGCTGAAGTGGTGTAAAGCTCGCCGCCATTGGACTTTGGAGCAGTGGAAACGTGTTCTCTGGAGTCACCATCTGGCAGCCTGACGGACTAATCTGGGTTTGGCGGATGCCAGGAGAACGCTACCTGCCCCAATGCATAGTGCCAACTGTAAAGTTTGGTGAAATCTTAACGCTACAGCATACAATGACATTCTAGACAATTCTGTGCTTCCAACTTTGTGGCAACAGTTTGGGGAAGGCCCTTTCCATGTTTCAGCATGACAATGCCCCTGTGCACAAAGCGAGGTCCATACAGAAATGGTTTGTCGAGATCAGTGTGGAAGAACTTGACTGGCCTGCACAGAGCTTTGTCCTCAACCCCATCGAACGCCTTTGGGATGAATTGGAAAGCCGACTGCGAGTCACCCCTAATCGCCCAACATCAGTGCCCAACCTCACTAATGCTCTTGTGGCTGAATGGAACCAAGTCCCCGCAGCAATGTTCCAACATCTAGTGGAAAGCCTTCCCAGAAGAGTGGAGGCTGTTATAGCAGCAAAGGGGGGACCAACTCCATATTATTGCCCATGATTTTGGAATGAGATGTTTGACGAGCAGGTGTCCACATACTTTTGGTCATGTAGTGTATCTCGATGGATTTATGGGGATGTTGTATAGACAGGTACAGTAGGTGAATGTGCAAATCCCCAAAAGTAGGCATTTTTTATTCAGGCTGTACATGTTCTAGAAAAGCAATTAGCCTGCGTGGAAGATTGATGTTGTTTGGATAAATATGTGCAACAAACTCTCCCCATTTACCATTTAAACATTTTCAATGAAATCGACAGATAATTTAGTACAGATCAAATCTATAAATTTGAGCTATTACCAGCAAAAGTGAACATATAACTTTTGGAAACGTTAAATTAGGCCTACATTGATTTCAAGTGCACCTTTTCGTTGCGTTGTCTTTGTAGTTTCTTGTGCTACCTTCTTTTTCATTGTAAAGTAGTTTGTGACTTATGTCAAATCAATATTTTATGGTAGTTTTGAAAATTATGGGCGAACAAATTGTTAGGCCCAGTCCAATTTCCATCAAAATGCACTCGTTCTATGCTTAATTGTAAGGCAGGCCACTGCATTCGTAAAACACTATGATTTTTCAATATTGGTCAAATAGCACCTACACAATTAAACTGTATAGGCCTGCAAAAATTTATAATAAAGCATGAATAAAGAATGAATACTTACGTGTGAAACTCCGTGTTCTGTAGCATAGCTTCCAGAGTTTAGTTTTTCAGATTTTGGGGAACAGAATGGCCAGAAAACCCAAGTAGAATCCATGTTTCATTTGTCTCCCGGAAGGTCCTGATTAATAATCGATAAATTACTTAAATAACACGTTACAGAGACTGAAAATGGCGCCTGTTATGTTGCGAGGCCAAATCCAGTTGTTATCGGTCAAAAGTGACTCCCGGATGAATGCCAGTTGTCAAATCCCCTGATGTTGGGCATTTTGAACCGCGCTTCACTCGGCGCTACAGGGTTAACCGCCGCCTAAATACTCACCCAAAACACCCTTCCTCCGTTCCTTTCCATTTGATTGCCACTAAATGTCAGTCCTAACTGAGAAAACTTCAAATAGCCTAAAAAGCGCACCAGAAATGATGTTGCGCACGGTTGTAATTCATGCGCGTTCCTGAGCCGTCGCGCTGAGAGTGGAAAGTCCTAAACCTCCGTTTGTCCTTGAGCTGTTGAGCGGCTGGCCGGGGCGGGATGGGATGGGATGGGATGGGATGGGATGGGAGCGATGCCTGACTAGGGGATTAGGCTACGGCTACGGCCGGCCCATGTCATCTCACATTCAAAAGTTATCGGGATTTGGGAAGCAATATCATTTTTTTTACCTCTCAAATGTTGAGTAATCTGAAACCATTTTGTGAGGCAACAGGAAATATATTTTCATTTCATTTTACAAAGACCTGCAAAAAAATAGAAAACAGAATGCAAAAATCTGTTTGCAAAAAATCTGTTTAATCCTGAATAAATATTTTCACACACCGGTAGATAAGAAGTCTACTTTCTCAGAACTACTTACAGGTAAATGTGGGCATATGAATGCTATTCTACCTGTAGGCCTAAAGGAATCAAAATAACACACGTGGCTCTGTTGCTCCATCTACCGGCGCTACAATGTCCTTTAAGGGAAACGCAGGGCTGATCATCAATTACATTTCAGTAACATTGACAGCTCCCTGAATTGCAAACTTGACTTTTCACCTAATTGTCCACAGTTAATTAAAGCGCAGAAAACTAGCGATGACGACCCTGGGTGTTGACACCATAAGAACAAATGATAACACTGCATATGCACTCAATAATTCAATTCCACCGTTTAGGCGGTATAGGACCTCTGATCTGCATGCACTAGACTACAACTTAGACTGATTAGAGAGTCCGGGGATTCTCAGTCCTTTGCTTTTGGTATGCATAGTAGCTATGGTTACTAACCTATTACAGAACTTGGAACCACATATACTGTACGTGTACAGGTAGATGCAGCATTTAAAGGAACAGTCATTGTGCTGGTAGAAATATAGTTTATTTGGCAAACATTTGCATAATTATGATGTAGCTTAAACCGTGAGAGAGAGCTCAACAAGACAAGAAACTTGATTAATCATATTTTATTTATATATATTTATATAAATCATTCAGTAGAAACAGCGTGTATCTGTGCATTTAAAGCTATTCTGTTCCATTGAAAAACTATAAACTAACATTTGTCTATTTTCTCACATGTACACATACAGAAGTCCTAAATGAATGCAAAGCTGCTCTTTCTGATTAGCAAAATATATTAGTAGAATACATATGAATGTAGCTAGCCAGTGGTGCCTACAGCTTCCAGGCATTCTGCATCATAGTAACAAAGTATTCGTCACTGTCGATAGAGGCACTCACTCCACTGTAGTAGTTGATGAACTCCTCCTGAGTTACCTACAGGAGGGGGACAAGACAACTAATTTACATAATATACAAAACCAAATAACCAAGCCAAAAATATCTGCTCCTTCCTTTTGTGTGTAGATAGTTCTGTCACACCCTGATCTGTTTCACCTGTTTTGGGCTTGTCTCCACACCCCACCAGGTGTCTCCCATTTCTCCCTCCATTATCCCCTGTGTATTTATACCTGCGTTTTCTGTTTGTCTGTTGCCAGTTCGTCTTGTCTGTTCAAGCTTACCCGCGGTTTTTCCCGTACTCCTGTTTTGCACCATTCTGCCTGCCCTGCTCTGACCCGACCCTGAGCCTGCCTGCCGTTCTGTACCTTGTGACACTGTTCTGGATTACCGACCTCTGCCCTGACCCGACCCTGAGCCTGCCTGCCGTTCTGTACCTTGTGACACTGTTCTGGATTACCGACCTCTGCCTGCCCCGACCCTGAGCCTGCCTGCCGTTTCTGTACCTTTCGGACTCTCCTCTGGATTACTGACCTCTGCCTGCCCTTGACCTGTCGTTTGCCTGCCCCCTGTTTTTTGTAAATAAACGTTTTGCTATTTCGAACTGTCTGCATCTAGGTCTTATCCTGAGCATTGATAAGTTCAGTAAAATGTAGTTTTTTTCTTCTTCATTTTTTATGTCATATCATCTACAATTAATTAGCCTGAAATCCGGGGCCTGGTTGCATAAAACATCTTAAGTGTTTCCCTTAAGGGTTTACCTTAAGGAATAATTTCCCCTTACCTAAGGGAATTGTTTAAGGTCGTTGCAGAGAACCACTGCAACGTCCTAAGGTAAGGGGCATCATTTAAGGGTTTTACGGTAGTTTGAATGCAGTAAGGCAGAAAGAGTCTCTGGTTACCATGGAGATGACCTGATTCACTGTTCAAGACAGGAGAAACAAATTGATTTAGAAGATAATAAAACATATTGATTTAGAAGATAATAAAACATATTGATTTTTGTTACTTTTTTCTCAACTTGTTTCTATTCCTTTCTAGCAGGTCAAGCTAACTTACAGAGTAGGTAGCTAGTTAACCAGCTAGCTACGTAGCCATGGATTGTGCACCTTGATTAGCTACCTAGCTAGCTAGCTGGTGGATGTTTTCCTTTTGAAACCAGGCCAGAGGAAAGCAACATTCACCTCCACAAATGCTGTTTACGTTGATATTCATACTGAAAGAAGCACTTAAGGGACCTCATGGGCACCCTTAACTGTTTCATTTCATTTAAGGGGGAAATTTGCATTAAAATGATTTGTGCAACTGACTTAAAGTTAAGGAAACTTTAAGTGAATAGATAAGAGGGAAATTAACTTAAGATGTTTTATGCAACCGGGCCCAGACCAGTTTTGTGCTAACATTCCACTCCTTGTACTCTGTCCCATATGCCTAAGATACGGCATCCTCTGTTCTCCTCAGTTCTCGTTGAGCTCATTAATGATAGAATGTTCATATTTGAAGATTGGAGAAAGGCCAGACTGTTTTTGCGTGACAAGGAGTGGAATGTTAGCACAAACAGACTGGTACCCATGCTAGCAGTGTATTTATCACCTTTCCGTCTTTGTTGTCGGGGGAATCAAAGCTGCTGAGGAAGGTTAGGAAGACCTGTTCCTCGGTCCACTCCCCGCTCTTATATTTGGGGTGTTGTGAGCTGTTGTAGACCCCCCTCAGGTCCTCCACCGTCACCACCCCGTCCCCTGTCCGGTCCAACTTCTTAAAGGCCTGGCCGATCACAGAGATCCTGGCACTGGACATAGGAGGCTGAAGGAAACGGATACAAACCCATGCAAACAGCATTATACATCACTGCACCTTCATCATGCAATTATTACATGTATTTTGACTTGTTCAAATACTATTATTATGCGAGAACCATTATATTATACCATTATTTATTTATTTATTTATTATACACTGTGCACAATGAATAAAATGTGCATAATCAATGAGTTTTTGTGTCACTACTTTATTAATTTTACCCTCAGATTCTCCAGAAACTCGTTGAAGTTGATGGTGCCACTGCCGTCCTTGTCACACAGTGTGAAGATCTGCTGGGCATCCTCTCTGCTCACCACAACACCATAGTCCTCCAGTCCCTTAATGAACTCCTGCAGGTCCAGAGACTTACTGCCATCGTCGTCCATGATGCGGAACGTCCTGTATGGATGGGGAGGAAGAGAGACGATGTGGAGGGATTAACCATCTTTCTCTAGATATCTATTCGACTTAACAATCAATTATGAATCAGTTATCATCAATTATTGTTGGCTTTTTGTATGCAGACTATTTTCACTTGTGAGTGAATATCATAAGATAAGAAAACGTTATTGTAAAGTAATAAAAAAAAAAAAAAAAAAAAAAAAAGTTAGTTGTTTTGCTTTGTCTTTTAATTTGTTTTTCTTGCCTTGCCAGTCCCTTGATGCCAGCTGCTCCCCTGGCCAGACATTGCCCTCTCAGTACCTCCATTGGGTCTGTGGGCTTGGTGTTTGAGGCCATGTCTTCTGTGTTACTGTAAAATCTGGAGTAAAATACACCATCTGCTTATTTAATTCATATTCAGATGTAGGTTCAACAACAGAGGAAGTATAATGAGCAAGCAAGGAGAAAATAGAAAGTCAAAATATGCTACACCCCTCCCCTAGAGACCTGTTACTAGGCTGCCCCCCACCCCCAGAGACCTGTTACTAGGCTGCCCCCCTCCCCCAGAGACCTGTTACTAGGCTACACCCCTCCCCCAGAGACCTGTTACTAGGCTACACCCCTCCCCCAGAGACCTGTTACTAGGCTACACCCCTCCCCCAGAGACCTGTTACTATGTACTGTACACGCGCACCAAGCCGTCACAAGTCAGTTCAATAGTCAATACATCATAAAGAGACATAATTGCAGATATGTTCATATTGCAATTGCAAGACATATTTTAAAGCTCATATCCATTTTCATATACAAAATGTCTCCATATTTGCTTCATGTACACCACTTTCATAAAATAAAATCGAAACTCGTTACTCCTGTTGCCTAGACAACACTTACACAACAACCACACCTTTTTCCTATGCCATAACTTCGAACCACTATCTATCCAAAATAGTATAACGGACATACCAAAACTAAGCAATAATGAAGAATACGATTACCCAACAAAAATAGTCGTTGTTGCAAGTGCGAGGAGAAAGTTGTCTCACCTAGAGTTCTTCTCACCTGTTCCACTCTAGTGTGCCGGTGCGTAATGTAATTGTGGTTGATATGAATAGCGCACGCCCCCTCCTCTTCTCTCTCTCTCTCTCTCTCTCTCTCTCTCTCTCTCTCTGTCTCTGTCTCTGTCTCTCTCTCTCTCTCTCTCTCTCTCTCTCTCTCTCTCTCTCTCTCTCTCTCTCTCTCTCTCTCTCTCTCTCTCTCTTCTCTTTACTCTACACTTGAGACCAGCAGCCCACTCGTGTCATTATCAGTAACGACTGTTAGATCATGTTCGATTTTCGCGGTAAGGAAGGCGGTAAAGTTGTACGAAGAGAAGATCCATCGAACTTGTAGAGCTTTTTTTTTTTTTTCGATAATGTTTGTGTCCCAAATGGCACCCTATTCTCTATACATGTAACGTTATGATAGTGAAATAATTGTAAGAAGTAGAAGGCCTAGAATGGATCATATGTTTCAGATGTGATGTTGAAAACGCTGGGATGGGTGATTCCGGACCATGTCTGAAAAAGTAGATCAATTATTTGGGATATAGATGGGGAAATACACTGTCAGAAAAACATTATGGGTGGTGGAAAATGAAATCTATAGTATCATAGCAAGGAATTTGCAGTGGTGTAAAGTAATTAGTAAAAAATACTTTGAAGTATTACTTAAGTATTTTTTTTGGGGTATCTGTACTTTACTTTACTATTGATATTTTTACTTTTACTGATTACTTTTACTTTTACTTCACTACAATCCTGAAGACAATATGTTTTTTTTACTCCCATACATTTTCCCTGACACCCAAAAGTACTGTTGATGCTCAGGCTGGACAGAATATGGTCCAATTCACACACATATCAGTTAGAGGTCTTCACGGGTCCACCCTAACCCGAATATCCGAGAACCAACCAGTGACCAGAGCGGGTCTGGGTCCAAAATTCAAACTTTTTCCTCGGGCCTGGTCGGGTCCTGTTTGATTGTCATTGGGTGTATGTACTGTAACTACAGCTGATAGACCCGAGTGGACCCGAATAGACCCGACCACGGCCCGATTATTCGCAAATGGAAGAAACACAAAAGGACTGTCAATCTCCCTCGGCCTGGGGCTCCATGCAAGATCTCACCTCGTGGAGTTGCAATGATCATGAGAACGGTGAGGAATCAGCCCAGAACTACACGGGAGGATCTTGTCAATGATCTCAAGGCAGCTGGGACCATAGTCACCAAGAAAACAATTGGTAACACACTACGCCGTGAAGGACTGAAATCCTGCAGCGCCCGCAAGGTCCCCCTGCTCAAGAAAGCACATATACAGGGCCGTCTGAAGTTTGCCAATGAACATCTGAATGATTCAGAGGAGAACTGGGTGAAAGTGTTGTGGTCAGATGAGACCAAAATCGAGCTCTTTGGCATCAACTCAACTCGCCGTGTTTGGAGGAGGAGGAATGCTGCCTATGACCCCAAGAACACCATCCCCACCGTCAAACATGGAGGTGGAAACATTATGCTTTGGGGGTGTTTTTCTGCTAAGGGGACAGGACAACTTCACCGGATCACAGGGACGATGGACGGGGCCATGTACCGTCAAATCTTGGGTGAGAACCTCCTTCCCTCAGCCAGGGCATTGAAAATGGGTTGTGGATGGGTATTCCAGCATGACAATGACCCAAAACACACGGCCAAGGCAACAAAGGAGTGCCTCAAGAAGAAGCACATTAAGGTCCTGGAGTGGCCTAGCCAGACTCCAGACCATAATCCCATAGAAAATCTGTGGAGGGAGCTGAAGGTTCGAGTTGCCAAACGTCAGCCTCGAAACCTTAATGACTTGGAGAAGATCTGCAAAGAGGAGTGGGATAAAATCCCTCCTGAGATGTGTGCAAACCTGGTGGCCAACTACAAGAAACGTCTGACCTCTGTGATTGCCAACAAGGGTTTTGCCACCAAGTACTAAATCATGTTTCGCAGAGGGGACAAATACTTATTTCCCTCATTAAAATGCAAATAAATTTATAACATTTTTGACATGCGTTTTTCTGGATTTTTTTGTTGTTATTCTGTCTCTCATTGTTCAAATAAACCTACCATTAAAATTATAGACTGATCATGTCTTTGTCAGTGGGCAAACGTACAAAATCAGCAGGGGATCAAATACTTTTTTCCCTCACTGTATGAATAACAATTCGTTAACCAGAAGAGCAACTTGGCTGATAAACATAATTTTTTTCCCACTCGGGTCACTTTTGTCACTAGGATTTGATAGTCCTTGGGTCCGTTCAGGTCCGGGTCCAACTTCTTGGACCTGAGAAGACCTCTACTATCAATATAACGCGTTGTCATCCATACTGCCTCTGACCTGGCAGACTCGCTAAACACAAATACTGCTTTTGTAAATGATTGAGTGTTGGAGTGTGCCTCTCACTGTTCATAAATAAATAAAAACAAGACAATCATGCCGTCTGGTTGGTTTAATACAAGGGATTTGATGTATAGCATTAACTTTTACTCAAGTATGACAATTGAGTACTTTTTCCACCACTGTGACTGTACTTAAGTACATTTAAAACCAGATACTTTTAGACTTTTACCCAAGTAGTATTTTACTGGGTGACTTTCACTTTTACTGGAGTCATTTTCTATTAGGGAATCTTTATTTTTACTCAAGACAATTGAGGACTTTTTCCACCACTGGGAATTTGTCCAGTAAAGCAGCTGGTTAACACAATTAAATCCATGTAGGGTAATATAAACAAGATTGAGAAAACGAAATTGTGTGTTTAGAAAAGAGGGAAATAAATAATGATAATGGAACTCTTTGAAATCGATATAAAGGTTTATTCAGCAGTCAGTTAGATAAAAACGTTTTTGGCACAGTTGCTCAACAGATGGGTAAGCTGCTCTGTCTACTAAATAAATATTATTCAAACCATAATTTACTTCCAAATAAATACAGACAGAATCAGGCGCCAGAGTTTTCCCAGGTCAGGTAAACCTCCACAAAAAAAAGATGCACGGCATTGCTGCTACTTTGCTTTTAGGCAGACTGTAACATATTGAATCGTTTTATATGTGTGCTTGCCAAATGGCACCCTATTTCCTTGATATGTGTGCTGGCCAAATGCCACCCTATTTCCTTGATAGTGCACTGCTTTTGAACAGGGTCTATAAACCTCAGATTAATCAGGGGTGTGAATTATATATAATGGAGGGAACTGAACATTCTGTAGACTTACCAAAGGTTAGGTTATATATTTATTTAAGCACTTCATAAAAATATTCGTAATTATGAATCCTGTCATCTGAAACCCCAACAATAAAATCAAACAGTGAGTTCTTACATAATGTTTTGGCAACGCTTAGACATTATGTCAGTGAATTACTGATCGTAATTGTGTTTGGGGAAAGAGTGCTAGATAAAAGTCTCGAATGGAAATGTAAAATATATAATGCTTGTGTTTTTGCTGGAACACCCTTTGTGGAGACATTTGAAACCCCACCTCTTTAAGGATTACCTGGGATAGGATAAAGTAATCCTTCTACCCCCCCCCCCCCAAAAAGAAAAAAAAATTGTAAAGTGGTTATCCCACTGGCTATAGGGTGAACGCACCAATTGGTGAGTCGTTCTGGATAAGAGCGTCTGCTAAATGACGTAAATGTGCCCTTGAGCAAGGCACTTAACCCTAATTGCTCCTGTAAGTCGCTCTGGATAAGAGCGTCTGCTAAATGACTAAAATGTAAATGTAAAATGTAAAATCCCACAGAATATCTCATAATTTTAGAGACGATAAGACAGGAGACATTTTGTGATATCTTCATGGAGGTTTATATGCAGTTGGAGGGGAATGGAAGTTGTTTACATCAACAACTAAATATTCAAGTAATATTTCAAACGTGTCAAGCAAGCCTCCTGCTTGGGAACTATTTATCATTCCTTTCTGTATTCAAAAACAGAAGAGTTTCTCTCTATTGATCGTGACACATCCTCAGTACTGTTCTAGTGACCGGGTCCATGCTCAGTACTGTTCTAGTGACCGGGTCCGTGCTCAGTACTGTTCTAGTGACCGGGTCCGTGCTCAGTACTGTTCTAGTGACCGGGTCCATGCTCAGTACTGTTCTAGTGACTGGGTCCATCCTCAGTACTGTTCTAGTGACCGGGTCCATCCTCAGTACTGTTCTAGTGACCGGGTCCGTGCTCAGTACTGTTCTAGTGACTGGGTCCATGCTCTCATGCGATCAGAACACCTGCAATGACAAGACTTTGATTCTCAGCAGTTCACTACAGGTGTGTTGCCCTCAACCAGTTCCATACAAATACCCAGAGGCTAGTACTTTTTAGACCGAGCTAGTAGAAAATGTACCAAATTAGCCACACCGGCTTGAGATTTTTTTCTATTCAAATATCCCATTGCGCAGATTTTGTACCTTGCGTAGTAAAAATGCCAGTCTACTAGCTCAGGCTGACCGGTGCCCAAAATCCTTAAATTCCATCCCTGAATACATCCATTCAGATCCATATTCAGAGACGTCTTCCTGTAATTCTGTCTTCCCGTACCCAGTATCCATGGGCCCGGAAAGTCAGACGATATTACAGTTAACTTATTTTTACTATTTTTAACTTATTTACTCCTGTCTTTGTTGTGTCGCATCGCCGAGCGTGAACCTGCAAGTAAGCATTTCATTGTACTGCGGACCATGTTTATCCTGTGCATATGACAAATTAAACTTGACTTGACCTGACTTGATATCCCAGAAGCAGGCATTGCAGTGGAGGTGCTCCTCCTTGACTACATGGAGGTCCTGCAGCTCCAACGCCACCAGGGGGCGTACTCACATTCCATGAGGTGAAACGTTCAGAACCTTGCAGATAGGAACGTAATAAATAGAGCTGATTCCAGTCACTTCATTCCACATGACAGACGATCTTATCTGTTCCACTCAATAGATTTCCCACCGCTCTCCAACATACATAGCCACATCGAGAGACATGTTCTCCAACATGTCGCCCTCCTGAATAGGCCCCATGTCAGAGGTCATCCAGAGACATCGTCCTGTTTTT